ATCTCTGTGAGTTCAAGGCCAGCCTGGTCTACCTATTGAGTTCCAGGATAGCTGGACTACAGGGAGACCCTGTCTCAAAAAAGACAAAAATTAGAACAAAAAAAAGGAGTAAATGAAGGGCTAGAGAGATGACTCAGCAGTGAAGAGAACAACTGTAACCCCAGTTGCAGGGGATATGACTCCCTCTTCTGGCCTCTTTGGGCATTGCATGCACAGTGCACTTGTACACATGTAGGCAAAGCATTCATATCGATAACATTTTTTTTAAAAAGCTGTGCATGGTGGTACATGCCTTTAATCCTAGGACTCAAGAGGCAGAGGCAGGTGGATCTGTGTAAGATCAAGGCCAACCTGGTCTACATAATGAGTTCCAAACCAACTGGGGCTACAAGGAGATCCTGTCTCAAAAACCAAAACAAAACAAAAATAAATGTTGCATTTTAAAAAAAGAAGAGTTGCCGGGCGTGGTGGTGCACGCCTTTAATCCTAGCACTCAGGAGGCAGAGGCAGGCGGATCTCTGTGAGTTCAAGGCCAGCCTGGTCTACATAGTGAGTTCCAGGACAGCTGGGGCTACAGGGAGACCCTGTCTCAAAAACACCAGAAAAAAAAAAAAAAAAAAAAGAAGAGTTGGGGCTGGAGAGACAGCTCAGTAATTAAAAGCACTGGCTGCTCTTGCAGAGGACCCAGGTTTGGTTCCCAACAGCCACATGACAGCTAACAACTGTCCGTAATTCCAGTTCTAGGGGATCCAACAACTTCTTCTGACCTCCGTGGGCACTGTGCAACACAAGTACACCTACCTACACGTAGGCAATATACTCATACACATACAATAAAAATAATAAATGGGGCTGGAGAGATAGCTCAGTGGTTAAGAGCACTGGCTGCTCTTGCAGAAGACCCAGGTGTGTGGGTTCAAGTCCCTTTACCCACACACATGGCAGCTAAGAACCATCCTAACTACAGGTCCAGGGGATCTGACACCCTCTTCTGACCTCCGTGAGCATTATATAACACAGGTGCGTTTACATGCATGTAGGCAAAACACTCATGCACATAAAATGAAAAAAAAGAAGAAAAAATTAAATTAAAAAAACAAGAGTAATTGATACATGAAACCCATGTTTAAAAAACAATAACAAAACTAAAGAATAAGAATAGATGAAATACGATTGGCTTTTTTTTTTTTTTTTTTTTGGTCTTTTTGAGATAATGTCTCCCTGTAGTCCCAGCTGACCTGAACTCATGTAGACCAGGCTGGCCTTGAACTCACAGAGATCCGCTTGCCTCTGTCTCCTGAGTGCTGGGACTAAAGGTATGCACCACCATGCCCAGCTGATTGGCTTTAATTATTTGTAATTACATTCTGATGTTCTATAAAGTTACTGCTGAAAACACTAATTATACTAAACCATCAATCCCAAGGAGGTACAAGATTTTTTGCATTAGGCATGGTGGCACATGCCTGTGATCCTAGTATTGAAGGAAGTGGAAGCAGGAAGATCATAAGTTCAAGGTCATCCTCAGCTACACAGCAAGTTCAAGGCCAACCTGGGCCATGTGAGACTTTTGTCTCAAAAAGAAATCAAACCAGGGGTTGGAGAGATTGCTCAGTGGTTAAGAACACTTGCTCTTCTTCCAGAGGACCTGGATTCAATCCCCAGCACCCACATTAGCAGCTTATAACTGTAATGGTTTCCCCAGTTCCCAGGGATCCAGTGCTTTCTTCTGGCCTTTTCGGGCATTGGACACGAGTGCACTTACATACATGCAGACAAAGCACTCATACACATAAAATTAAAAATAATAGAGCCTGGAGCCAGGCATGGTGGCTCACACCTTTAATCCCAGCACTTGGGAGGCAGAGGCAGGTGGATTTGTGAATTTGGGGCCAACCTGGTCTATATAGTAAGTTCCACGCCTGCTGGGGCTACAGGGAGACCCTGTCTCAAAAAGC